AAATTTTACACACATGTGAATGTGTGTGTATATAAAAGAATTCCTTATAATACTATTATAGATTTTTTATATGTTTGAAATTATATTCAAAACTTAAAGCTGCCTATAAGCCAATGAATATCTGACCTAACATGGCCCAATTCCATAGTACAAAATTAAATCATTCATAGTTTAATGTAAAATTACAGGAATCATAGATTCCTGAATGTGTCTTGATATTTCACATTACAGACAAATCTTCAATAAATTTTAAATCATATGTGTGTAGTGTGGCTTTTTATTGTTATTGTTCATTTATTTTAGTCTCATTTATCTATGTAATTAAGTCTTACTATGTTTCAAAAAGAAGTTAAGAGGGCATAGAAGTTACCTCTGCAGGGGTTCCAGATCCCTTCAGTCAAGCTCTCACGTGTGTAGTCAACAACTAAAACAATAAGATAACAGCGGTTTTCCTTCTTGGTCACATCTAATAACTTCTGGTGACCCATCGCTGCTGTCATTATGACCAGGTCAGCCCAGGACAGGGTGGGAGGTATGGCCACAGTTAAAGTGTAGTTAATTATTCAATAAGTCAATACAGGCTGCTCACTTCATTCATGCTGCTCATATTTCTGCTCGTGATCCAAACGGGAGACTCTGGACTACCCATTGATAAGGTTCATTCCTATATGTTACTTAAAAATTTTAGTCATTCATTTAGGTAACAAAAAGTCTCTGTCAGTTACTACAAACCCTAAAATAATCATCCTATGACAGCTTCTGATCACTCAATGGCATGCTCTGGTCACTCAAGCTATTAGTCATGGAAATGTGCAAAACCAAAGGATAAATGGGAAGACATGAAATATTTGCTTAGGCAGCATTTGGTGACTCTAAAATAAAAGCTAGCCTTCTCGCTGCTAACTGAGCTAAGTGTCACACTGGATGGCATCTTTTCAAATGGCCTGAATTGTATTCCTCACTTCCCTTGATGTATCCCTCTGTTGGCTCCTTCAGGAGAGCATCATTTTTTCTCTCCTGCCCTCTGTCTTCTATATTTCATTTCAGTGTCTATCGAGGCAACGAAAGATAAAGCTCCCTGCTTTCCTTTGTACTAAAGTTCTATATGGAATCAGTTCACCTGTCTGTCACTCCTCATTAAATTCTTACCCTCTTCATTCACATCCTGATCTTTGCAAATGAACATTTGCTTAATAAATGTTCCCAAGACTAACAGTGCAGAGTGAAAATCCCACACAGCAGTAAATTATTAACTCAGTCACAGAGGGAGTGCCATATATGACTTTTCAGAATGAGTTATTATGTGGATCATCATGTAATTATGAATTTTTCAAGCCATGATAGAGGAAAATTGAATATTTAATATTTTATGGACATATTCTACACTGAGGACATCTTTCAAAATTTTATGATAATTTTTAGAGTGAGCGAAGAGCTGAACAAAAGTTACAAAATAATTGCAAACTTGAATATTTAATCACTAGGGACATTGTTGGTTATTTCTCAGATTATATAATGTAACCAAGGCTGTGAACTTTTAATCAGAGTGTATTCAAATGGAGGGGAAAGTACATTAAAATCAAGCTATAAATGTGTTTTGGTTGTTTAAGAAATAAGAATACAGAGTTTAATGTTGTCAAATTGAGACCTTAGGGTATAAATATTCATGTGAGAGGCAATCTTGAATGATTTGTTCTAAATGAGCTATTGCTGAACAAAAACTTTTTCAATTAGCCACTTGAACATGTTTAAAATCCATATCAAGGAGTAAATACCAAAATATCTTTAAAATCTCGACTACAAATAAAGTGGGAAAATGATACTGTTATTTCTCAAAAGAGTAAAAAAAAAAACTGCAAGAAATATTTTAAAGCCTTGATGAAAAAATAACACTGAAAATAAAAAAATAATTCTGTGCCACACAGCACACAGTTTTACAGTGAATTACCTCATGCCTTTGTACCGATTCAGGCATTCATATCATCCCTTAATATGTACTACTTTGATGACCACTCACGTTTTAACTTCAAAAATTGGAATAGTAAATGATTCCAACTTTCTTGTGAGTAGGTTCTCCCTGATCTGGAAAGGCCCAGTTCCGGCAGGTCTGTGAGGACAGCTGAGCTCTTTGAACTCAGAGTGTCTCTACCTTGCTTGAGCATCAGCATTGCTTCTCCCACCTCCAGAGATTCTGGCTTACAATGAGTAGGACGCTGATTCTCTTTTAACTTTTCAAATTATTTTAGTTTTCAGTCTTGTCTTGCAAACACTGATAGTGAGGTGACTGGTGGTTTCCAGAGGTCAAAACTTCCTACGCACTTTGAAAACCCAAGAGAGTCACCCTGCAGGCACGCTGAGTATAGGACCAGTAAGGGCACAAAGGGGACTGACCAGCACCTCTGCTGTCGATGGCGTACGGCTACCAAAACACCGGGTGAGTCACTGTGACCAGAGAAGCCCCAGCTGTCAGGGAGGCCCCGGTACAGACACCAACATGCAGGATGGACTTCTCAAATTTGATTAAGGAAAAGTGATAACGCCAGTGTCTCTTGCATTCATTTGTTCACTCATTCCATTACCTATTCAACCAACATTTATTAAATGATACTATTTCCCTATAATTTTCTCCTTCTGTGAGATTATAGAAGGTGACTGAACATACGGAGAATGTAGCAGCTGACATTGCCACATAACAAAGGGCAGTAAAATTCAAATGACTTAAAATGCAACTACTTCTCTGTCCATGATACTTCAGAGTGGCAATTTATTTCGGCCGGATTAGTAGTTTGAGCAGAACAGCACGGCTGAGTACTATCGTGACCTGTTACCACCTTTGAAGAAAGTGAGATTTGACAACTGTGTCTCAGCTTTTCTGAGAAGCTGAAGCTGTTCAGAAACCTTTCCAAAAAATAACTCAAACCTATGCATTGTGGACAGCCTTTTGGGAAAAGCACTAGACCCCAAAAGTTGAGACACCAATTATCTTTTTTTTTTTTTTAAGATTTAGTCATAGGAGCTTTTTGCTTATTTGCTTGTTTGTCTTACAAGTAAGGAAACTGAGTGGAGAAAGAAATTCGACTACAGACTCACTTGTACGTTCGGACACTGCATAGCGATTGAGGGCGAGACAGGGGCTGAATCCATTCCAGTAGGCTTGTTGCTGCTGGCATTTGGCATTCACTTTGCATCTCATGTGCATCTAGAACAGCCCATCTTTCTCTTTCCTCAGCCTGGATTCTTAACTTTCTGATATTTTTTAAATTGTAGTAGTAAGCTTGAACATGAGACTTAGTCTTATATTTGCTACCTGTGGGCACTATATTGTACAGAAGATGCTAGCAATTTAGCATTGAATAGTAACTCTGTTTCCCCTCCCCTGGTCCCTGGTATACACTATTCTACTCTCTGCTTCTCTGAGTCTGACAATTTTAGCTTCCTCATGTAAGTGGGGTCACACAGCCTTTGTCCTAGATGGCTGGTTTGTTTCACTTAACATGTCTTCAGAGTTGATACACTTGTCACATATGGCAGGGTTCCCTTCTTTTTTAAGGTTGAAAAATAACTAATGTATACAGTAAGGACCATGTTAGATAGACACTTAGATAATCAGTTGCTTACTCACTCATCCATTGATGGACATGAAGGTTGTTCCCACATATTGGCTATTGTGAATATGCAACAGTGAGCACAGGAAGAAGATCCTGACTGCAATTTCTTTGAGTAAATATCCAGAAGTCGAAATGCTGAGTCACATGGTAATTCTAGTTTTAATTTTGGAGGCCCATCCCATTTTCCACAGCACCATTTTACACTCCCACTACTGGGCCTAGAGCTTCAATTTCTCTACAACTTCACCAACACTATGAGATTGTTAACCAGAACGCACAACTGTGGAAAACAATACACCTTGGAAAAATCTCAAGGAAGGAAATGCCCAAACATTTTAGAGAAAAGAAAGCCTTGTTCAGTTGGCAGGAACGATCACCCAATGGGAAGACTAAAACTATAAACATGAGTGGTATATATCTCATGCATGCTCAATCCCAGTGGGAATATTCAGAGGCAAATTTGACGAACTATTCCTTTGCTAAAGGAAGAAGATAGGAAAGTGTGGGTTTTTTCCTTTTCTCTATTTTATAAAAGATTTTAGGTTTAAAAATCCTTTATGATAAAAATATTTTAATTTTTTTCACTAAAAAACATGATATTAATTGAATGTTTTATTATTAGATGCCCTAAATGTCATTAAAACACTTAAAAATAGGCAAATCTACGGTTGAACCAACAATAACAATATTTTTCTGTTCAGTATCCTTTCAAGTATGGATTCACTCAGCACTAACCGTAAAGCAGAGACTGTGCTGACTTTCTGAAGGTTCAAAGATAAATAATATACAGCCCTGTTTGCAAGAGAGTTCACAATCTTGTGTTAAGGACAGAGAGGTGAATAGACAATTCCAATATAGTGTTCTCAGAGCCAGATCCACACAAAATCCTACAGGAAGCATAAACCGAGCTGACACTTTGCAGCTCACAGGTGTGCCGAAGGTAAAGGAACATTTACCTACGAGGCGGCGGCAGCAGCAGGCGACCACGCCCCAGGAAGGGCTTGGTCCCTTTTCTCCACTTAAGCATCAGGCATTTCTGAGAAGGCTCACAGCCATCAAACTCCTGATTCTTCAGCCACTCCCTTCCAGAGGCACTGTGTACAGAGCTCCAGAGTGAGCTGTAAGAGGTGGACACTCCTCAACTACATCTTCCTCAGCACAGGTAAAATTTGGTACAAAATAACACTTGGAGGGGATCCTGCACTTCTAGCGTGGAAACAATGATGAAAACCAATAGTAACTCAATAAAAAGCACTTTTTTAAAAAATGGCATTTAAAACTTAGAGGATCATTTTTTTCCCCATTCTTAATCATTGATAAAATCTTGTTATAAAATATAGCTTACTATAAAACAGAAGTGCTGACTCATTCATCTTTCTCTTGGCCATGCAGTTTCAGGTTGAAAACGTGTCACCATCACCAAGTGCACAGACTGAGAAAGCGTCATTAGATGTCGCCACACCACAAGCACCAGCTGGAGTAGCACCCTAAGATGCACCTTAGAACCAAGAAGTTTTGCAACCTTAGAGCCAAGGGTGCTGGAGCGGCACCCTCGACAGACCTAAGATAGATCAAGAAGTTCCTTTCTTGTCACATCAGAGGATGAAGCCTTTCAACCAGCCCCACGCAAGTGCAGTCAAGCCCAACTTGAGACCTAGTCAGGAGAAAACCAGTCACGGCACCCGAAGTCTGTAGGTGCCTGCTTGGCAGGATGGCCAGCCCGTGGTGAGTATGGCAGCTGTTTTCTCTGTAGTTTGCAAAGATCCTCAGAGTCCAAAGAAAAGAAAGGAAGACAGGAAAAGGAGCGTACAGGGTAGGAAAGATAGGAAAGGAGCCAAAAGAGCAGAGAGGTGCTGTAGGCGGCAGAACTAACTCCACACCAGATCCCTGGCTCGCAAGCTGGGCCCACATAGGGGCATAGGCAAGACTGGCCAGAGACCAGCCAAATAGAGCATCAAGGCCTGAAGATAGAGCTCCCTATTCTGATGCGATGGGTCTCTGTCAGGTCACTGACTAGGTCTCAAGTTGTGTCCTCTAAGTAGATTCTCTAGATGCTCTCAGCACATCTATGGTTAATAAAGAGTCTATCTGCACCTCTCTACTCCTCCTACAAACTGGATCTAGAAAAATCCATAGCTAGTACTTTTCTGATCTATTAGAGTACAAGAAGCCTTGATAAGTCTTAGCCAGACTCAGAAGCCCTGTGGATACTGTTGCCCTCGTTGGTCCTGCTGATAGCATTCAATGTTCCTTTCATAGGGCATGGCCATCACTAGAAGCAGACTTCTCATTCTTTTCAATTTATAGACTCAGCCTGACTGCTTGACAGTATACTCACATGTAAGTTAGTTTAGAAAATATCCTGGAGTACTTCTTCTGGTCAAGCAACTCTGCTGGAAATACACAGATCTACAAGGTGCAGTCTTTGATCTTGCTTAGCATAGAGAGGAATAAGAGGGAAACAGTGATCTATTTTATGAGTCTCATATCGTGATGGATAGAACAGCATGGGTTGAAGGGACCAAGAGAGGGTCTCTCATCCTGGATAATGAGATCAGGAAAAAGCATCCTTGGTGATATGCTAGGTTAGCCAATTGAAGAAACGCACATCACCAAATTTACCTAGTTTCTTAACAGTACCCAGAGATCAGTATTATTACTGAAGCAATATTTTACAGAGGAACTTTAGTCTCAGGGTGCTTAGGTGAATTATACAAGAAAAAGTGACTATGTACAGATAAAACAGGGACTTGAACCCAGATCTGTGTGATTCAGAACCCAAGTTTCCAATCAATTATTATGATTCCCTGCTGAGTCCCACCTGGACATCATCATCCATAATTAGAAATTTGCAATGAATTTTATCACATCGGATGGATGTTTTAGGCACTGAAGCAGGAGCAGCGAGGTGGCTGGGTAGAAGATCTTCCTCCACATCACCCAACACTTACATCCACACTCTAAACAAAAAATCATTTGATTCCAGAATCTTTGTCTACAGATTATATTGGTCTTCCCTTAAAAGCAAGAGGGAATTTTTGTCACAGAAAAGATAATGCTTACAAAACCTTTCCATTGTAAACATTGATTATTTATGAGCTCTTACAGGAAAGGGGCCCTCTGGATGCTGGCACATGGGAGAGCCATCCCTGTGGCCCACCCCCTGCAATTTATAATAAATGAATGTTGGAGTAAATCTCTTAATTAACCAGACAGAGAAAGGGACTTATGCTCCAAAGGAATCGCTCATCTCTTTAGCCTCGAAACCCTGAAGACCCCACTTCCTGAATCTTCTCTAACAGGACAGACGTTTGCTGACCGGCTGAGCACCAGGACGACTTCAGCAGGTAGACACCACAAAGCTAACAGCCCAGAGCAAACACACGGCAATGCTGCCCGGAAGCCAGTGGGTGGCCTTGGCTGGTGAAAGCCCTTCCTTCAAGCAACTGAGGCAGGAGCCCATTAAAGGTGTTAATTTTACATGATGTAGCACAGCGAGTTTATAAATAAGTAACAAATGAACATTCCCCATGGTTCCTCTCCTCTGAATTTTTGTGTACCTGCTACAGGCCTGGCAACAGCAGGAGTTTCTCAGATGCCAGATCTGGAATTGCTCTTCAAAAGCGAGGGGGGAGGCATTTCTAGCACCAGGACCAATGATAGTGTCCAATTATTTGCATTATTTTGACTCAATAACTTTTGATGCCTACATCCTTGGATCCAAACATCTTTAAAAAATAGCACTAATCCATCCTCTGTGTTTGGATGTGCTCAATTGAAGATTACCATCGTGAGCTGCAAGAACAAAACACAGATGTTAGAATTTCAGAAAAATGTACTGTGGGGGACCATTAGTAAAAAATACTGTTTAAAATATATAACATATGTAACTATTAAATACATAAAAATCCCATGCACCAAGAGGCAAAACATGATGAAAGTTGTTGAATATTTTAAGTACCTATATTGCTACATAAAATGGTTCTGTGCGCTAGAATTTTCTATTGCAGGAGATTTATGAAATTTTGTCAAAGTGGTAGATCATGCTGAAGTCAGGGGAAATACTAGCACACTTTGGGTTGCTTTCTATTTTTAATTAAGTTTGAAACTGCATCTTTGCACTTGTGAGTGTGCATATAAATATATGTAAGTCCAGATGTGATTAACAATAATGCTGATCTATGCAGGCATTCAAATTCTCTCACAAAATGGCCCCCTCCCACTGCAGAGAAAATTACTTAATTGAGGCTAGGTCTGTGTAATCATAATGAAAAGGAGATAGAATGGCAAAATTTGACCAGCATGATTCACCTTCATTTATTTGAAAGCCTAAGAGGCAGGGTGATATGAGTCCTGCCCTGGGCTCCCAACTTTGTTGTGATGACTTAAGGCCACAGTGCTGCCTTCTTTAGCCATGTCAATAAGGATGAGACTGGCTAGGCTTGAGTAGCTAACTCCAGTCCATCTAATGCTTATCCTGAAGGACGAAGGCAGGGAAGGATCAAAGGCACCCTTGAAAATAAACTGGGTCCAACGTACAGAGGGTCCAAAAAACTAGGCAGTATTAATAAAGATGGAGTCAAGGGCAAATAACCAGGTCTGATGGCTGCAAAGAAAGTCTGATGGAAGACGGCAGAGAAGCAAAAGAGATGCAAGCAGAGGACTCGAGACACCACCCAAGTCCCTTGCACCATCAGCTTCCCTCTATCTTTGCCTCAGTTCCAACCTTCTGGCCCAACCTGTCTTTCAAATGCCCAGTGCACCTGAGTCTTCACTACATAAGCAGCATTTAATTCTGTATTCTTCTGTCCCATTCTTGTTGTTTTCTATGGGCTTCCACTCATCCTAACGAGATTAAAACTCTATTTGGAGATCAGTAACTATATCGCATGTATCTATATTTTCTCCAGGGCCTAACACAGCTGTATGCACTTTCAAAGTTTCAGCAACTGCTTAGTGGTTGAGTCGATATGAAATCATTGTTTGCCTTCCAGCAAGGACTGATAGCCAGCTTTTCATCAGTCCACATCTACACCTGTTTCAATTTTCCTACAAAATATATACTCCAAAATACATGAGGACATAATTCATTTAGTACTTGCTTTATTTTCTAACTTTTCTTAACATGATCATCATCTATACAGATTCAACTTATTTTTCTAATAACTGTATAAAATTCCACCAGGTGGATGCACCAGAGTTTATTCAGCCATTCCTCTGGCTGCCATGTATTCCTGCCTGATAAGCAATATTACAATAAACAAGTTTATCAATGTCATTTTGTATTTGCGTTTTAATTTGTCGATTCCCAGGAGTGCAAAGATAAAGTGTATTTTGAAAAATTTAAGATCCCTCTATAATAGCAAAATATTTGGTGTCATCCTCCCACCATTAAAATAGTCTAGTGTTTGCTTTGCCGAACTCTTGACAGCACTGAATATTAGCAACCTTTTTAATGTTGACCAAGACAAAGGATTGCTATCAGGGTGAGAGAACAAAATGGCGCCTTAGTTTGAGTTTGCATTCCTCTGACTGCTAGCAGAATTATAACTCTTCATTGTTAACTTACGTCTCTTCTTTTAAGAATTATCTGACATAAGTTTTGCCCACTTTTTATACTTAACATACAGAAATTCTTTGTATGTCAGGGATTTTTTTGCATGCACAGGGGATGCATCTATTCTCCCAGATAAATCTTGTATGTTATACCTTGTAATTTCCTTGTAATAACCTGTTCTTGGAGGTTATTTCCCAACCCCTTCTGTCTAGCGACCCAGTCATAGCAAATAATCCTGTGTTCATTAAGGAAGTTCAATCACTTTATCCAAAAAGTTCAGCCAACAATAATCAAAGTGGACTGGCCACGTGGCTCCAATATCTTTGACGATCTGCTGGATCAAATGAAGCATTTTCACCTTAGCCCAAACTGGACTACCAGATGAATGCCAGCTATTACTGTTAACCCCAGTCCAACACAGAAAGGACTTTACAAAACACACTTGAGCCCAAAGTTAGTTTCTAGTCAAAGTATAACTACAAAAGGTGTTGGCGAAAAATAAATGAATAAAGGGAATTAGAAAAGATTTAGGTACGTGTGGTTTTGAGTGTGCAAACACCAGCCAGAACACTGATAGGTGCGAACACAATCCCATGTTAATTATAACACAAATCCCAGCACCCCTGGGAGTGGGTCTGTAGGGACCAGATACAGAAAATCAGCACTTCAGTGAAGTAACACTGGATGCCACTGACTAACAAAGGGGTTCCAAAGGGGAGAACCCTTTAGTTGATAACCAATATTTTTAAAATGGTTGAGGGCCCTCCCTCATGGTGCAATGGGTTAAAAAGCAGCATTGCAAGCCAGCTGTTGCCACTTTAGAATGAGTTCAATCCCCACCTCAGAGGTGACCCACATGGTGCGACAGACCTCTTCTGACGCACCCACTCCTCCCCTCAGCAGTGTACTTCTTTGATCTGCCTGTTTTTCTCCCTATTCTGTCTCTGGTGAAGCCTCTCACCATCCCTGCACCTCTGGTCTGCACCCCAGTTCTGTATGTATAAATAAATAAATTTTTAAAAAAATGGTTGAATTACTAAATTCCATAAAACATAATCAAGTATAGCAACTATTTTTAAGGAATATTTAATGATACAAAGGAAATGCTTATGTGTAGTAAAAAGGAAAAAACAGAATATGAAACCCTATATGAACTCTGACATCATTTCAGTAAAGGACACATATGTATTTTGTGTATAAAAGTGAAGAACAGATTTTTTTAATACCACAGTAAACAGTGTTTATCTCCATAGAACTTGTCGGTGATTATTTTCTCCTTTATACTTCTCTCTACTTTACAAGTAATTCTCACATGAGCATTTTTTTTAAATCAGCAAAAGCTATTTTTAAATAAATACCCATTTATGATTACATTTTAATTGAGTCTGAGCTGATATGAATCTCAGTCATATTTTGCTATTTCTCTTCACTAATTAACTTGAAGCTGCTCTTCCTGCCTCACCCCCTTTCCTGGAGTTTCTATCCGTTCACCATCTTCTTAACCATCTCAAGAGGAACAGCCAAGGGGTGAGGCAGGTGAGAACTGAGTCTATCCCAAAACTCCTTTACTGCCTAATGTGGCAAAGACAAAATGAAAAAGGAGGACCGTTATGAAAGTCGCTGTCTACTTCAAGTTTAAATACTATATATCTGTGAGACGCTTTCATGTGAGAAAGGACAGTTTAGAAGATATCACAAACTTGGTTCTGACAATTTTGGTTTTTTGAGAGAGAAAGAGTGCTACAAACTCATATTTCAAAATGCCTCAGTGTGTTTTAAAGTTTTAAATAACAAAGTGAACAAGGGTTGTAAGTAGAGCTGTATGGATGGATTTCATCACATGGAAAGTTCATGTTTTGCTGATATTCTCTGTTATTTTGTGGTACTTAACTATAGATTATGAACAACAGTAAAATTTATCTATTTGTAAAACTGAGGCACGCTTACTGGTGTTTCTGCTGCTTTGTCACACTTAAACATAACGCAGGAAAAAATGGATAGGTTATTGATTATAGTGTCACCAACAGAAATACTGAAGTTGTACAGAGAATTATGATTAGACATTACTAACAGGAAGGAGATGAAGATATGATAATGTTGCCTTTTGTTCATTTCAGCTACAAAACAAAGATGTGTCTTACTGACCTAAGTTTTGCTTAAGAGAGGGATTTTCAGGTATACAAGAATAAAGTCAGGTTTCCTGACTCATTTCAAAGGGTCATAGGGAAGTGTGTGTGTCTGAACTGCTGAAACAGTGAGAATGTGGTGGTGTTTGGTCTCCAGGATCTCACCCATGAGGCCTACACTATTACCATAAACTCCCAGTGTTACAGGGCAGCCCAGGGTGGACTGGGTCGCCTGTCTGTGGGGCCTCACCCACGCGCTTAAAATTCAGTTATACTGCAGGCGCACACAAAAGGGTCAATAAAGGGTTTATTTACAAAAAGGGAAAGAAACAGGAAACAACCCAGGGAAAGAGAGTGGGATACAAAGTAATTAGAATACCTTAGCAGCTCGACTGAGTGAAAACACCGAGTAACACGGTCTAGAGAGCTGTTTCCTGAGCGAGAGAGATGCAGTCGCACCCTATTTATCCCCCAATATCCCAGAATTCCTGCTGGCTCCACCCTTGGGTCCTTGCAGTTCTCTCCATGGTACTTCTGAGAGTTGTAGTTGCAATCACTGGAGTAGGGGATAGAGCCCAGAAAGCTGGAGTAGGGAGTGGGGTCCACAAGACTCTGTAGAGTTCCTTTAGGACATCCTTCCCCTTAACACCAGGAATCTGTGCCCCACGTTCAATCAGTATGTTACATATAACAGGGTCCCATCTTATGCCAAGGCTGAATTTCTAGTGGTGAAATTTCTAGCATGATTGAGAGTATTCCAAATTGCTGAAAGTTAGAAACAGATTCTCATTGTTCTTTGCCAATGACTTTTACCTCTGCTATGCGCTGGGTTTGAGGGAGTAGTGAGTGAGAAAACTCAGTCTGAGCTGGGAGTTGGGAGAGCTGTGTCTGCTCTTAGTTCTGCCCCGGGACAATTAACTGCTCTTGCACAATTCAGACTTTGGGTTTCTCATCAACAAAATGGCTGTCAGAACAAGTAATCTTGCTTGATATGTCTACAGCGGGTTCTGCATCTACCAGGCCTTCTCCTGTCTACACAGCAAGTTGTGGAAACAAGTCAATGTATGTGTGAGTGTGTATATACACTCAAACGCATCTTCCATAATTTATACACGTGGAGTCAGATTCAGTAGAAGGATGGGAAAAGTTGAAAATAGTTATTCATATAATTTTTTAAATCTTGAAAGATAAGGTTTACTTTTTTTACAAATGCTAAAATTAGAGCTCTTCACTAAAGGTCTGTTTTAGTCCAATTTTGTTTTCCTTTAACTTCTAACACCAAAAACTTTACATTGTAGCTGATTTGTACCAATTTGAACAATGCAGAAGACAAAGATTTTCTGAATTGTCTCATTTCACAGAAGAGGCATTGCTTGTGACTTCCAGAGCTGCAAGTATAAACACTGTATAAACACAAGTCTGACTGACTTGTGAATAAATTGGCCAAACTTACTTCTAATTATAGAAATTTTAGATACATCTTTCTTTTACCAAACCCTGGCAAATACAGAATTAGACTTTGATTTAGAGAAACAAAGCCACAAACACATTATTGCCTTGCACATAGTTTCTGCTCATAAATATTTACTACTTAGTTATTTAACAGCAGTGGATCTTTTGGCCTGACTTGTCCTAATATTGCTTAAATATCTACTCTGTCATGTAGCAGTTCAAATATAAGAGCTATCAAGAACTAAATAACAACACTTCAAAAAGGCAGTGATGCCAAGAGTCAAGCTGTATGTGGAAAATACATACGCTCAAAATCCAACTCTCTCAAGAAAACATGTTTGCTTTTTCACTGACATAATCCACTTCTCCAACCAAATTCTGCCCCCCTCCCGATCATGACAGAGAATATTTTTAATCCTCTTTCCCTCTAAATTGCTTATGTGTGTCTGTTCAGGCCACTTGACTCCATAGTCCATTCAAATGCAGTTCAAAGACACTCACCTAATCCATTTCTTCTAAACAATGAGCCTAGTATCACTGTAGAAAAAGAAATATTGAAGAATCTTCTAGAGAGGCTTTGAACACTCCCAGGGAAAGGGCACTTTCAGGGAATAGCTAAGTACTTTGAAAACCCTAAGGAGCTTTGTAGCAAGGGATGACCTTATAACCTCTCGACAGCTTTTTGCAAGCAAAATCTTTCAAGCTTCATCTAAAAGACTGGTGAGCAACAATTTGAAGAATGAGGTTTTCCTTTGTGTCAGATTATAGAGCGCAGCAGTGCTAACCTTTTTGTTCCACTCTATTTCTGATCTAAATAGGGAATTATTTATCACCAGAAAATGGTGGTATTCAGATCACAGCCTCCTCAGAGCACTAACTTTGACCTCAGTCATCTGTAGAGATTTAGGGAAGAGAAGGCAACTTATTTGGACAGAAGTCTGAGCTCTACTCTGAGAAGCTGCCTCTTGAGGAAGAAGGTACTCTGGGCTCTGGTCATTGAAAAGGATCCAGTCTTACAACTTCTTGATATCAATTTGTTATTGTGATGCGTTTCCCCAGTACCTTGAAGTTTCATTTTCCCATCTGAATTGAATTTCTTCTCCATGTCAAGAAATAAATGAATTTATTAGAAGTTTAATTCAATGTGAATTTTGGACAAAATTACCAAGGGATTGGTTTATATTCTTCCATTAATGCT